GACTTAATGGCACATGCACACCGTCTGATGCATGAACCCCGTCGTGCAAGAAAAACCCGACTTAAAGCATCCACCTTATCGGGCCGCTAAAAATAAATTAATACATAAATCAGTAAATAAACATACATGATATTAAATAGTGAAAATAAAGACAAATATGTTTCAAACTTGTACGGTATTCACCCAAGTCATTATTCTATCATAGTTCACAAAATGCATTAGATAACATTCTGGAAGTAAGCACTTATATATATATAAACATTTAAAAGGACATCATATAGGTTTAGTGCATGTTCAAGGACAACATAAAGAGTAGTAGTTTATTCTTGAAACTTAAATTTGCAACACTGTGAAGTTAGTATTTGTCTTTGTCTTTTGGTTGAAGTAATGCAATCCATTCAAGTTTCAATTTGCAGAAAAAGAAAAGTTTCTGAAACTTAAAATCGCAACACGAAACTTAAATCGCAACGCGAAAATGACTATCGCAACGCAGAAATGACTATCGCAATTCGAATTTGACTATCGCAACGGGATAATCGCAATGCGAAATAAAAATCGCAACGCGAAACCAAAATCGCAACGCGAAACTAAATTCGCGTCGCGATTTTCATTTTCGCATTGCGATTTTTATTTCGCATTGCGATTATCCCGTTGCGATAGTCAAATTCACGTTGCGATAGTCATTTCCGCGTTGCGATAGTCATTTTCGCATTACGATTTTTAAGTTTCGTGTTGCGACTATTCTTCTTCTGCAAATTGAAACTTGAATGGATTGCATTACTTCAACCAAAAGATAAAACAAAGACAAATACTAACTTCACAGGGTTATTTTAGAACTGTTTAATAGTATTGGCAACAACCGAATGAATTTACTAAGCAATCTAAGTGAAATGGTTAATCTAAGTGACATTATGAGTAAATCAAGTTAAATATTAAAAATCTTAAACTTACCTCGTTGCGTAGAGTATGAACCTCATTCTGCAACGATGCTACCATCTCACGTAGAGCCGCTACCTCACCACGTAAAGTAGATACCTCGTCAAGCCATGTACCATTGTCATCATGTAAAGTACCGACCTCCTCACGCAAGGCATTGACCTCATCACGTAACTCCCCTAACTCATCCCGTGGAGGTGGAGAACAGGGAGATAAATGTCGTGGCATCTTTGTCGGTCGCCTATCATGAGGTGATGGTGGAGAAGAGGCTCGATGATGTGACGGAATAGGTGATGGCTCTCGTTGTAGATGTATATAGTGTGGTCGATCAGGTGATGGCTCTGGGTGAGGTGATGGCTCTCGAAGTGGAGGTTGCTCATCATCTGTGCCATCATAAAAACGCTTACTAGCTTGCCACCAATCAGTGGCAAGCTCAGCCTCTGTAATGGAGTGTTGGTCTCCTAACAATATAAAAGCTCAAACAAATTTAAACGTGTACTAGTAATAACTTGTTTATATATGGTAGTATTTGTGTTAACTTACATCATTTATTGTCATATACCGTAGTAACTCTTCCCAAATCAACAGTCGCCGTTTCCTCTTCCAGGAAATAGCTCTAGGAATATCATTTGAAGTTTTTAATGCATATGTCCGCATGTCGGGAAAAACCTCAAATATTCAAATCTACAAAAACAATATAATACACAAACATTACTAATTGTTAAATAATTAATTATAATTTTGGAAACATTATATAAAAATCTTACCTTAAAGGCCCAAATAAAGCCTGACAAAATATATTTGGAACCATCGCCACGCAAACTTTTACGGTCATCAAAGGCAGACGACAACTTATTCCAGGTAGCTTTCCATAGATACGAACCCCACGAAAACAGGTTCTATGCATTTAGGTCCTCTACCAATAATATTAGGTCCTTAGGAATAGGTTGTCTGGCCTCTCTGCCTAAAAAGTCGGCATACAAAAGTACTAAAAGGCATACTCGGACAACATCGACATCATCCATCCGAGTAAAACCATATTTCTTATTCAATAATCTCGTCAAGTCGTCGACGTGTAAATTCGGCTTCTCCATTGATAGCTCAGGAAAAACCCGGGATAACCATGATGGGCGGGTAATATGACTAGTGTATCGACCTACATCATCGTGTCCGAAGCGTAGACCAGTGATTAAGCAAAACTCCTCCCGCCCAAAACACGTATACGCCGGTGGAAAATGAAACCATATCTCTTCTTTACCACGTTTTATACTCTCGGGTAGATCGCTAGTCATGGTCTGAAGCCACAAATGGGTCAACATAGCATCTCCACCCGGATGTTGTACTTTCAGCCATGGCCCGAAGCAAGTATCCTCAAACAATTTTCTTTTTACAGGTGAAAGCTTCGACGCAATTGTAGTGACTAGGCTTATTTTATTCCTTAAGGTTAATTGAGCCAAAAAAAGTTCTACAAAAACAATAAACATACCAAGTTAGATTAAAAACTACACTGTGAAGATATACCAAAAACAATAATAAACATAAAGAGTAGTAGTAGTTTATTCTTCAAACTTAAATTTGCAACACTGTGAATTTTGTATATGTCTTTGTTTTTTGGTTGAAGTAATGCAATTCATTCAAGTTTCAATTTACAGAAGAATAATAGTTTTTGAAACTTAAAATCGCAACACGAAAATGAAAATCGCAACACGAAAATAACTATTGCAACGCGAATTTGACTATCGTTGCGATTTTCATTTCGCATTGCAATCCTCAGTTTCAAATAGTCATTGTCTAAAATTGAAACTTGAATGAATTGCATTACTTCAACCAAAAGACAAAACAAAGACAAATACTAACTTTACAGGGTTAAAGACTAAACATTTTAGCAATATTGGCAGCAATCGAATGAATTTAATAAGCAATCTAAGTGAAATGGTTAATCTATTATTGAAATTACCAGTAAACTTATCATCAATTTCAATATGAAAAACCTAATAATAATGCAAAAATTTCAAAATAAAAATAATTTAAAAAAACTAACCCTTGGTGGTTGATTTGGTTGATTTTCCATTTCTGATCGTGAATGATTATGAGGGTGGCTCTGAGAGATTGAGATAGACGGATTTCGCCGGAGATGGGGACGGATTTTGTCGGAGATGGGGACGGATGTCGCCGTAGAGAGTGAGAATGGAGATGGGATTGAGTTGTGATTTAGGGTTTTAGGTTAAGAGTTGCGATTACGGGATGTATTAATATTCGTGTTTGGAATTTGAAAATAAAATACGCGTTGTGATACTAATGGCGCTTTGAAAATCGCATTGCGATTTTGTATTATCGCAACGCGATAGTTAAAATCGCGTTGCGATAGTCAGAATCGCGTTGCGATTTACATATTCACATTGCGATTTTCTAAAATCGCAACGCTAATTTGGAAAATCGCAATGCGATTGTCAAAATCGCGTTACGAATCTGGAAACTGATTTGCGATACTGGAGATCGTGTTGCGATTTAAAGATCGCATTGCGATTTTGATGGTCATTTTAACAAATCGAAAAAAAGTTGGTCAAAATCGTATATTATAAGATATTTTCGGTCACTGAGATTATTTTCTCTACATTGTATATCATATTTTTACAATATGCTAACATAAAATGCCACACAAATCATCATATAGCTTATAAACTAAAAATACTCAAAATGCATACATTTGACATACAAGCGTCACATTTATGACTTTCGTTAAACATTTCAAAGTGATAACTTCCTCTAATTTTATTCTTTTTATTTTATTCTAGAGAATTCTAGAACCTCTTTCACTAATAAAAAATATTTTGATTAATAATTTTTTTTTATTTTTTATTTATTAATAAAGTGATATCACTTTGTCAGCCTCGTCCTCCTCTTTCTCAAGTACAAACAAAACTAATTTATGAGAATGATTTCATAAATAGATAAAACAATTACTCTAAGTTCTTTCTCTTTTATTCGCGATTCAAAAATCTCATTTTATGGTCAATTAGGTCTGATTAGGCTCATACTTTGTCTCACGATTATAACCATGTTTACTAATTGATTTATCTATAACACGTGTCAATGTTCAAATGTTAACTTGAAAAATCAGGGTTGTTACACGCGCTTATTCTTTTTTAGAGCATTTTGTCCTCTAACATTTTATTTTGAGGTAAAAAGGCTCCTCCATAGATTGAAATCATTAGTTAATAAGCGGTTAACATTCTAAAATATGAGTTTTTTAATTCTAAAATAAAATGTTGGGGGACAAAATGTTCTAAAAAATAAGGGTTAAAGTGACTATTCAATCTAATGTTAAAAGTCGCGTTTGGAGCCAAAATGCTCAGAAAAAGAATAAAGATCAAAATGATCATTTTGTTAAACGTTGGGGGCTAATTCTGGTATAATACTTTATTTTTTTCAACTCTTTTGTTTTCCCTTTAGCCCAACTACGATTATAATTTGCATTCTCATGTTTTCCATTGTTCTTATTTTCACTATGCCTGCTTAAGCTCGATCATTATAGTGCCCGAGTTCAAGTGAGACCGGGGTTGGATATAAACTTGAGTGATTGGGATATGATGTTATAAAAAATCTATGATCTAATAGCTGCTAACAATGACAGTCGATGTCTATATAATTAAAAAATTTAATAAAAAGTCAAATCAGAACAGAGTTAGAGAAATAACAGTTGGGTGACAAAAAATTTTAATCTCCAAAGTTAAGTTATAAAATTAAAACGTTTTAAAGTACAACCAAAATAGGAGTAAGAAGAAAACTGAATGAGGAAATTTGTAATTTATCCATAATTTAAACACATATTAAATAAAAAAATCAGTATGGCATTAATTAAATATATGATTTGAACTATAATTTTCATGTTACTACTGTTTAAGTGTTTGTTTATTATATTTATACACTTGACTTCAACTTTTATAAAATTTAAAATCTTAAACAGATTTTTAATTATACATACAATTACTTGATATATTGTATGAGTATACAAGCTAGTTTTATATGTGTATATGGAAGAAGCATATGGTGGTTGAATAAAATGTGTGGTTTCACTCCCCCAGTTGAGGTAATGAGTCACCAGTCCAATGTGACATTCCTAGAAATATAAAGCTTATCGATGTACGCTATTACTGGACGCGAAGCTTCGATATACCTTCTCATTTTCTTCTCTGCTGTATCATCTGCAAATATATTTTTACATGTATGATTGTTGTTAAGTTAATTATTACGTTACCAAAGTGATGACGTGTTATACATTATATCACCCAAGGAGATGTTATGACTTGCCACATCACTTAAGATGATGACGTGGTATATATTACGTCACCCAAAGTGATGATATGATCTATAAATATATATGCACATACATGTATGTATTCAAGATTTATTTGTCCGCTATTTTCATAAATACATGTAAACCACGTATACATATTTTGTATGGTGTTCAAAACTATTATAAAATGATTAAGAAAATAAGATCCTAAATATAAATAGGTATAATGATAAAATTAACCCTCCAACGCTTACTTAAATTATTATTTTGATCTTTATTCTATTTTTTTGAGCATTTTAGTCTTTAACATTCAATTTTTTGTTAAAATAACTTATATTTGATGGAAATTATTAGTTCACTAATGGTCAACTTATGTTGCTGACATAAACATTTCCACATGTGTGATTATTGTTATGTATTGTCACATGCTATGCTATGTTACCAAAGTGATGGTGTGATATGCGTCATGTCTTTCAAAGGGAAGATATGACATGTCACATCATTCAAGTTGATGATGTGATTAATGTTTATGTCACATCAACAATTAAGTAAATGTGAAAATTTAATGTCAATAATATTCATGAACTGTTAGTCAACTAACATTTTTCGTCTAATATGAATTGTTTTGATTAAAACTGAAACGTTGCGGGTTAAAATGTTTTAAAAAAATAATAAGAACTAAAGTGACTATTTAAACAAATATTAGAAGCTAATTTTATCATTATGTAATATAAATATTGGGGTAGAATTAGGTAATAATCCAAAACGTACCTGTTTCATTGAGCTTGATCAGAAGTTCTTCCCTTGTTGGAAGAGTATACATTCCAGCAGAAACAGCAGTCCTGACAGTCCATGTGTGGTATGGTGCACACACTTGAGCATAAGCTGTTGAAGCCGCATCCCTCAAAGAGTAACAGCTACAATTTGGAACAAAAAAGACAAGAGAGTTGCTTATCATCTCCAATGATGCATTATGTTCATTGTAGTAAGCAAAATGATAGAAGGAAAAAGAAAAAGGAAACAGGGAAGGGCAAAGTGCAGAATCATACTCAGACGACACAAATTCTTCGAATAAAGCGCGGATGAGGTCGAGGCCTTGTCTAACACGACGCAGGTTACGTGAATGGCTTCCCGGTGTCTTCACCGTGTCGTTAGCGACATCGAGATCAAGAACATTTTCTAAGGTGGCAAACCTCTTGGATGCTTCCACCAGATCATGTACCTGATCAAAACCATTGATCATATGAGATATGCAAATGCAAATCACTAGAAACTAGACCTTGATATATGAAATGCTGCACTGCATATGACTCAAACTTGTACCCATGTAAAAGTATAACAAAAACAAAATTATTTTCCATATCTTTTCTTTCTTTCGAAAAAAGCAATGAACCTTGGCGACGTACTCCAACTCGGCGAATTTGAAGGCGAGGCCGAGGCAGCTGAAAAGAACAGAAACCAGAGAACATGCTTCACAGAATGTATCCAACGGAAGTTCTTGATCCTTGGTCTGAGACCCCAACGATTCCGACAACTCCTCAAACGCTTGTGCTATATCCGACAGAGGTGTTTTAGTTGATATGGACATCTTGGTCTGAGATTGATTAGAACCGTCATTTGCTTCATCCATGGCTTATATCACTATACCATTCCCAATTCCCTGCAAAATCGTCCAACATTTTGAATTTTCATCAAGAAAAGGAAGAGATAAAAGATGTAAGAAATGGTAAATTGGGCTAGCATTTTACGTGTCTGGGATTGATTCATATTCTTTTTGTTGTGAAAACACGACAAGTGTTATGGGAATAATTAGAGGTGGTGCAACAAACACGGTCGGCCACTTGGTTTTCAAGCTCGGGGAATTGGAAAACTCCATCATTTGCTTCATCCATGGCTTACATCATCATACGTTGAGGAGGCCGTAAACCAAAATTAGAAGAAGAAACCAATTTGATCCATCGAGTTTAGCACTCGATTTGTGGACTAAATAAACCAGCAACGTACTCAGTATTAGGGATGTGCATGGGACTCACTACTAGGGATGTGCATGGCCCCAAAATCAGGTTCATGTCATGTTCGGGTCGAGTCGAGCTCAGATTTATGGTGAAAAATACTTGACCCGACCCGACTTAAGGAAAACATATAATTTTAACTTTATATTTAGTGATAATTATAATAATGTCCCTTTGTATATTATTTTTTCAATTAAATCTCTATTTTTCTTAAATACATTATTTTGGGTCAGGCCGAGTTCAAATTTTATCTCAAAAAATTTATTTAGATTCGGGTGGAGGGTGTATATTTTTTGAGTCAGGTCGAATAAAGGATGTATAATTTTCAGACCGAGTGAGATTGACCACAAATCCAACCCATGCCATTCCTACTCAGTACTCACATCATTCCCAAATGAAATTGCAGTCCACGTTAGTAATTTGTGCGCGGAAAAGTAATCGAAACGATATGAATATAAAATAGAGTATGTGAGAGAAACAAGATTTAATGTAATTCGTTTTGTTTATCTCAATAAATGAGAGAAATAATAATCTATTATAAATTTACAACTCACGAAGAGTACACTTATATTAGGTATCTTAAAGAAAATTTTTAAGTATTTTTTTTATCAAATTGTGCAATTATTTTATTTTATTTTTTGCTCTTCCGGTTTCAAGGTTTCGTCTTGGTTAATCCAGACCAAACCGCGTCACACATCTGATTTTGGTGGGTGAGTCTCCCAACAGGGATTTTCTGCATACAAAAGGACTCGAACTCGAGACATTGCTTAAGCGATATCAAGCTACTTACCACTTGAACCAACCCCTATTGGTAAATTGTGTAATTATTTAATAATTGTTAACTCAACCAAAGTGAATTTTTAATTTAAATATTATTATTTGATGATAAAATTTTGATCAGATATTTTTAAATGATGAATTGTTTTTAATAATATATTTTAAAAATTATTATTTGATGTATTAATGATAAAATTTTTAATTATATATTTATATTTTATTAATTTTAAAATATATTAGTATTATATAAACTTTATTGTTAAATATTTATTAATTTAAGTTAAATATTTTAAATTCATTAAGTGATCTTAGTTGTAAAAAGGAATGTTGTTCTTTCTAAAGACATTTTTAGTCTATAAGATTTTATGTTAGGAGACGAATTTTTAAAATTTTAAAGGGATAACTTCTAAAATTCTAGAGGTAAAAACATATTATTTTATGATAATTTAAATTTTTCAAGAGACAATTACCTCTGCCTTCCGTCCGTCCATTCCGGTCTATAAATGTTTATGAATTTATTTAAATTTAAAGTTTAAAATAAATAATATTTTATAATTAAGTTATAATATTGAAAAAACCAATAATGCCCCAATATTCGAGTTATTATAATTATGATTGCTTTTGCTTGCATAATTGTTATTTGTATCAAGTCACGAGTGTATCATAACCACATCTATTAATAATGCAAAAATACTTATCAATAAGCATAAAATATTAATTTTTTCCAATCGGAAATTGGCATCCACAAAATATAATAATTTTCGATCACCGTTCATAACACACACCAAATATTACTAATAATCAGTAGGTCTAATAAAATGAAGTATTAGATTTTTTTAAGTAAAGGGGTAACATATTTGAATCCTAACGTTTGTGAATGGAATAAATTGGATTAGAAAATTGTCTTCGCCTCTACAATATCCGATTTAGATTTATCAGTTAATAGATTTGATATCAATGATTAACTAAAAAAACACAAAGTATTGACTCAATTGTATGGGAATAGGCATGTCATATTTTCAATATATAGTTTTATCTCGTCTACCGACATAATATTGTTTCTTGTATGGCATGTTAAGAACATAGACATTTGAACTCATTAAGTGATTTCAATGATTAGAAGGATTTTGTTTTTTTCTTAAGGTACTGAGTTCAATCAGCTACATCTACAAAGTGTGTTGCCACTGACTAAGAAAAATTATAAACAAATATCAATCGATTAAATTAACAAGATACCATTGAGGTAATCAATTAACAATATACTCCTACCCTTTTATATTGTATTCTATGCAACTGTCAGATTAAGAGTAATATGGATGGCAGATAGGTACAATTTCGTAGATTTCGCATCGTACCATTCTAATTGGGGTAGGGATTGCTATAAGTTTAGTGAGTAGTGGATGGGTGTGAATGTAAAAAAGTCATACCCTCCGTGGGTAGTGGGTAGTGAGTAGGTGACGGGTTTGAGGCCTTACCCACCCCGCATCCGTTCGCCCCTCATCCACCCGCCCTACATCCACCCTCCACTGACTACGTATCATTTAAATTTTGGACCATTATAAATTTAGGTATAATTTCAGAGACTATTTTATAAATCTTAAGATTCTATATAACATGACTTGTAATTTAACTAAATGTTAGAGTATAAATATTTTTAGAATTGAAGATTGTCGTTTTTCCTATCTCAAATTCTCAATCTTTAGAATCAATTTCTTAATAGACGAGTTTGTTTTATGTCTTGTTGCGTATGTAATCTTTGAGGTTGTTATTAGGCAGGTATGGGTGGGTACAAGCGGGTACGGGATGAGTAGTTGGGTAGTGGGTGTGGGGTAGATTTGAGAATGTACCTACGTAAGTGAGTGTGGATTTAAAAATTTTACCCGTCATAGGAGGTGGGTAGGTGGTGGATACGAAAATATTAGGTGTGTATGAATCATTAAGACAACATGAATGATCTTACCTAAGAGATTTTTTATCAAGACAACAGGTATACATGTTCATTGTTGGAACCCTTCCTTCTGCAAATGGAAAACAAAAGCACAAATAAACAAGGCTCAAGGTCACGGTTGCCTGCATATACCTGCTTATTATTAATATCTAATTCCATTTTCTCGTACAATCTAATTAAGAGAGGTATATGTAAGACTGTTCCTTTCTCAGGCTAATAAAAGGGCGCTGTTAAACCTGGCTAGTGAGTTCAACCCTTTCGTCATACTCTATTTTGTGGCCATTGAGAGCCTTGAAAGTATAAAATTTTGCGCATATTAAGTAGTATACAAAGTTTAGAGTCTGCAAAGCTGTGAGCAACCAATAATAATACTCCAACTTCCCCTTGTTCAAGTTCTTGATGGGAAGCCAGTCGGTATACTTGTGGACTAGCGTGACCAAAAGTGTGCTTGTGTAGTCCCCAGCTGAAATGGATGTCCAGAACAATGTGCTCTCCGGTGCTTGGTTATAGAAAAACTCGAGCTGGCCGATAACCATGAAAGCCTCTGCAATTCCATAAAGGCTATACTGTGGAACAAGCCAAAATACTGAGATGGGAATTGTTGATTTCGGGCTGTAGATTAGGCCATCTTGCCGAGGCTGCATGTTTTCTCTTCACTTCAACTAATCCGGCAACCAGAGTTGCTAGTATTGAGATGAAAAAGCCTATGGCCATCCTCTGCAAAAAGTTTATGCCCCGATCGAGCCCTGTGGACCTGCGGGCAACATGAACCAGTACATGATCGTATAAGATTATCATGATGAGCATCGACGTCGAGGCGAAGACGGACATGGAAGTGGAGGGAATCTCGAAAGACTTGGTCAGTTGTTTGTCCATTGTGTTGGTTTGTTGTACCGAAAATGTGTTTTCTTGAGCATTGGATGTGGCGAACAGAATACCAGCTGCCCAAATTGGTAGCATTCTGAATATGCATTTTAATTCTTCAACTCTATGGACAGTGTTGAGTCTCCAAAAATTCGGGTTTTATGACGATTTAACACCATCTTCTTCAGTCACAATGGCAGCCTTATCCAGAAATCTGCATTTTGCACGCATATATGTTCAATTGGTTAACTATATAAATATTGGAAGTGATTACTTGAATTGTTTTGTATGATGAAGCAGTCCATCGGTGGAAATTGAAGCATCAAGCACCTCGTTGACACTTGACATACAATAATTTAGGATCAGAAACCAAGGGAATCTTTCTCTTCCTATAAGCGGAAACACAGACTTGTAAGACACAAGTGTAAGGACTTCCAGCAGGATCCAGATTTCGGTAAAGAGGGTAACCAATGAGGAAGACGATGATGGACAAAGCCATGGCTATGGTAGGAATTCCAATGCCTAAGCTCCATCCTACATGGTCTTGAATATACACAAGCACCGTTGATGCTATCAATATCGCTGCTCCCAATGCAAAGTAGTACCAATTAAAGAACACCCAAGTTTTCTTAGGATGCCTAGGATCTTCCTCAACGAACTGCTCAACCCCAAACGCCGCCACGCATGGCCGGATCCCACCTGATCCCAAGGCAGCCAGCAGAAGAGCCAGGTAGAGAATAGCCGTTTGAATCCCATTGGCTTCTTGGCAAACTTGGTTACCTTCACATGGTGGTGGCCGTAGCTGTGGCATTGCTGCTGAGAGTGTTAGGACTATCATTCCCTGCTTACCACATCAGAATTTCCCATTAGGTATATGCCTGTAAACTTGATGCTTCTTCTCCAACTATTCTTACCGTTAGGTATATGGCTGTTGCGACAGTGATGGTCCAGAATTTCCCAGCATATGAATCAGCAAAGAAAGCCCCGACAGTGGCATCAAGCTCGAGGTGCCATTGAAGTTGGTCACAGTGTTGGCTGCTTTTGCTAATGGCATATGGAGCTAGTTTGTCAAGTAGTTAACCATGTTTTTACTGAACCCCACCATTGCCAATTTCTCGCATATCTCATTCACTGCAACATCGACGGGTCAAGTAATAACCCTAAACAAAAATGAAAAACAAAACCCAAGATTCCAACAGCTATCAAAAAGCTTACCTATGATGAAGGGC